GGGGGAATGATGTAGTTTTTTGGGTTGTTGTTTTTTTTTAAGTTGTTGTTATATTTTTGTTTCACATTTGCTACAAAACATGTTTTTGTTAGATACTAGGTTTTGAACGCAGACGACAGAATCTCTCGTCTCCAGAAGACTTGATAAGTAAGCTCAGCCATCAGGTGTCCTTGCACTATTAGATCTAGCAGCAAGCGTGCAGTCTCTCTCTCTCTCTCTCTCTCTCTCGTCTCGTCTCGTCTCGTCTATCTCGCCTCTTCTTCTCCCTACTTGAAACGTGAAACCACTTCAGTCCATCCAGACGAAAGAACGGGTCTCTCATTTCTCGGCCATCGTCGAAATAGCGTAGAGCAGTTACAATTTGTACAACTTTTATTGTTTCCGATTTATTTACTTCTCGATCTCGTTTGCAACAACGTGCAGCGATTGTGTTTTTTAAGTGACTATCAATCGTTTCTTCCCAATAGCAGGAGTAGTGGTTGTGATAAGAAAGATAAAATACTGCTAAAAATAAACAGACGTTTTATTTATTATTTTCATGTCTTTGGGGTGTTACTAGGTTGTCTTATGTGGTTTCGTCGAGGTCTCCCACATTCAAATATTCGTCTACTTTTTCAGGAAAAAAATTTTAAATTCAACACCAGTTTCTGAAGACGTGTATTTCTGTTCTTTTATTGAGCGACGTGTTGACTCTTGCATGCTCGTTAAAAAGAAATATATATTTATTTTTTTAAAACCCAACAACGATAAACTAGAACTTCCATTTGTGTTTTCGGGATCCACTGTGTATTCACATCAGAATCTGTTAGAAGCAACTGTGTTTTTTTATACGTCGACCATTCTTATGTACAAAGTAAGACCGAGCCGTGTTGTGGACTAAAGTGAGTACGATCAATTTGTGTCCCTGTCGCTCATAATAAATAATGTCATGACCTTAATTAAGCAGTTACGAGCGCAGTAAAACTTTCACCAAAAAAAAACCCAAACAAACAACGAGCATTACTTGGTTACTTCATTCAATTCCAACGGACGTTTGAGTCGACACGTGTTTCGTGGTAGAGAAAAATTACTCTCGAAAATTTTCAAGGACGGCTGTTTTCTTTATTCTACCTTTTACCATTGACATAATTCAAGACTTTCGTTGTTAAAAGTGTATAGATCTACAAGCGTATTATTCTTTTACAAATACGTCCCTCGATAAAGCTGACAAAGTTATCTTCGGCATTCTTCGTTTTATTGGCAAATCCTAGACTATCTCTGCGGCTTCTTATTGTTCGCTGTGTTTTGTTTTAGTAAGTTTTTTTACGGCACTTGCAACACAATAAGGTCATATAAGTGCCTGATCGCTGTGTTTGGTTTGACTCAAACTTTGAGGGTACACAAATCAGCGGTCTCGCTGGTGTAATAAATGCTAAGACTTTTATGACGCAATAATTTTGCGTGTGGTTTAGTGGGGGCGTTTTCTCGGTTCTGTAAATCATTATCCCATTCGGTGAAGAGGAAAAAGTGAGGCTGTGTGAGCTAATAGAAATGAGGCAACTACAGCTGGGGATGGACGGGGAAAGTTCCCTAGCGGAGGAGGATTTGGAGCAAGAGGAGGTAAGCACTGATAGACACATTTATCTTTCTCTCTTTCTCTGTCGGTCTGTCCGTCTCTCTATTCTCTATCTCTTTCACTCTTTTCCGTCTCTCCTTCCTTCTGTCTCTCACCCTCCCTCCCTCTCTTCTCCCCTCCCCCTCTCTTTCTCTCTCTCTCTCTCTCTCTCTCTCTCTCTCTCTCTTCTCTTCTCTTCTCTCTCTCTCTGTCCCTCCCTCTCTCTCTTTCCTCTCTGTCTGTCTCTCTCCCTCCCTCC